TGCGCAATGTTCGCACCAAGCCTGGCCAGTCTTTCTTCCAATCTTATACCGTTACTCTGCCGGACTATAGAGAACTATAGAGAAAACTTCCATCTCAACTCTGGCAATGTTTCACTAGGTCTTAACCTGTCCGCTACTATGTTTGATGGGGCGCTTGATGATTTATTCTTTATGCACAAGATGACATGGAAATTGCAACGTATACTTCCCCATCGCTCCTCGATATCATCTTTTTTCCTTTAGACAATTTAAATTCAAAAATAATAATATTCATTTAATTAGCCGTAGTTAGAACATTATGCTCACACTCATAGAGGTTCGGACTTTTGCAATAATTATAATTATGCATTATGCATAGTGTTTTTATTTACCTGTATTGAGGAGCATATTTCATACCGTTTTCAGAATCCATTTCTGGGTACGAATTGTGCTTCCTTCTTTAAAAGCGTTCTGACGTTGCCACGCTCCTTGATCGCACAAATGTTCTTCTGCGAAACTCTCTTAATTTGCCTCCAGACAGCTACATGAAATTGACGTTAAAATTTGTCGATAAACGTTTAACGAAGAATGTCACGAATGACTGCAGCTGTAATGACTGCTGTATTTCTAATCACAAGCAAATGGGTTTACATGCTTTTAAGCAGCCTTGTGACAAATTGTTAGCATCTTGAGGAAATTATTAAACGTGCCGTCTCGATCGTCATTATCCTCATCGGCCTTTGTCGATCCATTACTACATGAAGTCTTATCGAAAACTTTGCTGTTGACTTCTGCTAGCTGCCATTTTCATCCATCTTGATCCGTCATCGGCTGTTGATCGTATTGCCATGCATATTTAATTCAAGAGTGTCACCGTCAGCAATTACTCATTCGCAAAACTAGTCACCTGAATGTCGATTTACAACAATGCTACGTCACTAAATATGACAACAAGTGCGTGATTATTGAACGACCATCATGAGTTTGTTAGAAATAGCGCTGCATTTTGCATCAGTCTTCATGTCTAGTTAAAAATACTCAATGACATGTGATGATAGATTGATATCGACGTTTTGACCCATAATCTTCATCCGATTCACCCTCATTGTGCGCGTGGTACAAACTAAAGCAAATGCTTCTCTGATGCTCTTTCTTTTCGAGCGTTTTTTTGTGAGTTAATTCTCGGAATTCCTTTCGGGGCCATGGCCCTGTGAACTCTTGCTGATGACTCCATACTCTTTATCTGTCATTCAGGGAAGTGGTCACATTGTGAGCTTTAGTCAAGGACCAATATCCCCGACGAATGGCGAGCAACCACTATGTGAACCTAAAGGGGCGATAAATCTGTAGTAGAAGGGCATTTCTTCCTCTTGTTTGAAACCGAAATACCAAGAATTTTGCAGTAATCTATGCTCGTCCTAATCTAAGAGAGTTTGCGCAGCAGTTGACCATTCTTCTTGCCGTGGCTTCGCTCCTTCGTATTGCCTGCACTGCCCATTCTGCAGAACACAAGCATGGCAAAGCGCAGTGGAGATTCCACTACTCCTTGCCTTACTCCATACTTTGTACGAAAGAGTTTGTTGAACTTGCCATCGATTCGCACTGCACTGAACGAACGCTCATGCAATCTTTTAAGTGTGCTGTCAGTTTTGGTGAGATTCCTAACCGTTGACAAACTTTTCACAAGGCAAGCACTACATACTATTGGTCGTAAATTGCCCTGGAATCGTTTTCTGCTTTAATGGTTCCCGT